GTGGAGCGTGGAGCGTGGGGGAAGCCCGCAAGCCCGCACTTGGAGCGTGGAGCCGGGCTCAGCTGAAAGCCTTTGATGGCAGCTGCTCCTGAGGAGAGTTCCTCCACCTTGCTAAGCTGATGTCCTTTGAGCAGGCCTCAGCGACAACCCTGGTGCTCTCCCCACTCTGTAGATGGGGTCCCAAGGTCCCCTTCGGGCTGGGATGGTGCCTGTATCCGTGGGCCTCCGCTGTGCCAGGCAGAAGCCAGCTCTCGTGCCTCCAGACCTCTGCTCCAGGCTGGGACTGGGAACCACAGGTGGGTCAGAGGCCCTGCATGACCGCGGCCTGGGTGTGGGGCCGGGTCTGGCGCTTGCCCCCTCTGTGTGCGGAACCATCGTCACCCGCATTTATAGGACACTGAATCTTGGTGAGCTGAAGTTTGACCACCTAGTTTTGTGGCAGAGCTGGGATTTGAACCCAGGTGTGTCTGATAATCCATGCACTAGGGTCCAGAGCAGGGGAAGAGAGTTGGGTGCGGTGGAGGTGGAGGCAGGAGAACGGGGCTCCGTTCCTGGTTCTACCACTCACTCGCTGTAGAGTGGGTTTGTCCTCTGCCCACTCGGGACCTGGTCGCTATCCGCCTGAAGGACGCTTAAAGACGCTTATTCTTGAGCTGTTGTAACTGCAGGGTGGGTGAAGGGGTCTGAAAGGGCGGGGAGGAGGTGGGAACCAGGTGAACACAATGCGCGAGGCAGTGAGATTCAGGCTTGCGTCGGGGGATGGGGTCAGGGCTGGCTGCAGGCTGGGAAACAGTGGGGAACGTGCAGGGCAGGGAAGCGGAAGCAGAACATCACTACTGACTCCTTGCTGACTGTAGTGTGTGGGCAGCTGTGCAGTCACTCTGTCTGGGTTCAGGCAAGTGCTCTTTGCAGGCTGAAGCCACCTGGGAGCACTGACAAAGAAAGGGCACCGACAGTGGAGGTGCTGAGCCAGCATCTTTAGGCCTCCAGACCTGCCCACACCTTCGGAGACGCTGGCTAGAGGGAGAAGGGGGGCTAAGGACTGAGATCTGACTGATGGTTCCAAAAATTCTGAAAACATTTGTCATAGGTCCACTTGCCTGGCAAGTCTGGCCTCAGTAGTTCACCTCTTTCTCCACTGCTGAAGCCTTGAGGTCATTGGAGGGAATCTGGGGAACAGGATTCAGGCACCGTCTTCCCTCTGCTCACCAATGGCTGGTCTCAGCCTCCCGGCAGGGATTGCCGCAGGGGGCGTGGCAGGGCAGGCTCACTTACTTGGGCACTTCTGAGTCCCCTCCCCTTCTGTTTTGGGCAGCCTCTCAGCCCACTTGGTGATATCACCTAGTTACCAGGAGACTGTGATAGAGAGAGTCAGAGTACCGGGAACAGGTCAGGGACATATCCACACAGAGGGGCTGGGTCTTGAAGGATGAACCAGAAGAACAAGATCAGGGGAGGGAGGAAGGGGCCTGGGCAGAAGTACAGAGGGTAAGGTCCCAACAGAGCTCAGGAAAGGAGGAGGTGCTCCTGGGGTGAGGCTGTGGGATGTCCCCTGAACATTGGGATATGGGGATGAGGAAGAGGCTGCTTGGTGTTCAGTATTCTTCTTACAATGGGATGTAGCTCTATAAGAGGTCGGCTAATGGTATGTCAAGGCCCTGACACGTTTTACTTGGCCATTTGTGGCATTACAGGTGGGGCAGGTTATAGTGAAAAGGAGGATTGGAATGTGAAGTCATCCACCTATTAATTAGTCCTCCATAAATTCACTCACCCTCCTAATGTATTTATCTACCTAGGCATCTATTCAGGATCCACTTGATCAGCCATGCATCCACCCATATATTCAATCATCCATCCATCTACGCACCCATCCATCCACTCACCAATACTCACTAAGTGCTTATTCTATGCCTGGACACATGCTAGGCACTAGGAACATGTATATGAATCCACTAAAATGAACCTCTCAAACCGTGGAAAGCAAGAGTTCCCACACAGGTGCCCCAGTGCTGAGAGGGAAACTCTTGGTACACCATGGAGTTCTCTGCTCTCACAGCATGCAGAGTAGCTCTGCTTCCCTCAGTTTTACACATCAGAGTTAATAGGAGAGTGCTCCATTGCGAAGTGGAAGATTTTCAGCCACTGCATTAAAATATAACTGGAAAAATATAAGTGACCACCCACAGGCCTTTCATAATTCTATAAGTATAAGATGAAAGTGATTTATTCCACTATTGAGATAGATTCTGCCACTTAAATAAACTCACCAAAATTAACTCACATGAACGTTTACGTAGCCAAACTCCCTAAGTTTACCATCTTGTCATCATTCACTAAGGTTTTATCTCTGGTTTAATGAACAATTTATTTGTTGGCTGGAAAACCCATTGAAACAGTGTCACAAACCGCTTTTCCCTATTTCTGCAGAGGAAGTGGTAAACTGGCTGACATTACGGAACCAAGCCGTGGCAGAATTAGACTTTCTGCTTGAACCCACACCAAACTCTTCCTTTTCTTGCTAGAATCATCAATGGCCCTGTACTCATTTTCTCTCCTCTTTTGTCCCCACCTACAGTTGGCTCTTAGGCTATTTTCCAGAGAGAACGCAAGCTTTTATAACACCAGCAGTCACTGTGCCTGGGAGCAGGGGCTGGCTTGGCCTGCCCATCAGCTAGGGGATTAGCTATCACATCCCAGTTTGCATTATGAGACTCAAAATCGTGGCTTTGAAAAATGACCACTTACTACAATGTGGACTTTCCAAGAAGTTCATGAATAATTGATATGTACAGTGTTAAATTCATGAATGCAGCAAATTATCCTCAGCTATCCCACCACAAGCTGGACCAGCCTAAAGGTATGTTCTTGGGCCACAGTGGCCAAGTCCCCATCCCAAGTACTATCTTCCTTGAGTTTTGTTTTGGCCATTTGCTTTTGTGGGTTCTGATTCTGGAACACGTTAGAGGTGATGGGATTTTGTCCCCTGCTCCACAGTGGTTCCCTCAACTCCTAGAATACAAGGGCATGTGGGAAACCAGCACCAGGGCAGCAGTGTATTAAAAATAATATGTCGGGCTTCCCTGGTGGCACAGTGGTTGAGAGTCCGCCTGCGGATGCAGGGGACACGGGTTCGTGCCCTGGTCCGGGAGGATCCCACATGCCGCGGAGCGGCTGGGCCCGTGAGCCACGGCCGCTGAGCCTGCGTGTCTGGAGCCTGTGCTCCACAACGGGAGAGGCCACAACAGTGAGAGGCCCGTGTACCACACACACACACACACACACACACAAAATATATATATATATATGTATATATATCTCATAAGTAGAAAGTACTTATTCCAGGAATGCCAGAATGGTTTAAGACCAGGAGATCAATTAACATGTCACTTTAGTAGGTAGGATGAGAAAAACTAGTAGACCAGGCAAAGATAGATACTTCTTGGCCATGATATATCCTGATGATCTCAAATGACTGACACCATCACACTGAACCGTGGAGCTTTGGAATTGTTTCTCAGCGTGTGGTTCAGGGAATGTGGGTTTCTAAAAACATTATGCAGTGTTTGGGGACAAGCCCTGGACCCCCACGCCCACCCCCAAGATTGCTTTGCAGCCTTGAGCTGGGGCAAACCAGCCCCAGTCCTAAGGCCTTTTATTCACCAACATTCAGTATCCTGAGACGGTGCATGGTCCTAGTGTCCTCTGGGAGAAGGATGGCTCCTCAGCCATCTTCCTCAGGGCAGGAGGAAGCCCAGAGCTCCTCCACCAGAGCTGACCTTCATCTGGTCCTACGATCTGGCTAAGTAAGACAGACAGTCGGGGGTTCACATCTTGGCCCTGCCTCTTGCAGGTGGTGCCCTCAGGGCAGTTTACCCCTCTAAGCTTCTATCACTTCATTTGTACAATGGGAGCAGCAATTTCTTTGAACTAATCAAAGCACACTGCCTGGCAGGATGCTTGGCACACAGTAGGTGCTCAATATATGACAATTAAACCTTAAAATATTTAAAAACACTCCTAGACATAGTGTTAAATGTGAAAGGCAAAACAGTAAAGCTCCAAATGGAAAACACTGTAGAACATCTTTGTGACCTTGGGTTGTTTAAACGGGATACAAAGGTACTAACCATGAGAAAAATGGGTAAGTTGGACTATATTAAAATAAAGATCTTTGGTGGGAGATTGGGCTTCTAGGTGGGCAGGGGTCACAGGGACGGAGATGTGAACAGGGTCAAGGCCATGGCTGGAGCAAGGGGAAAGTTTTGAAAGACTTTC